AAACAAGTCCCAGGGGCAGTTTGCCTTGGGCTGGAGTCCTGAGGGGCAGTGGGGCCTGATTAACTATGGAAAGCACCAGAGGAAATTCTGCTTAACTCAGCATTTCACAAAGTACCTTCTGTAGAACATTAGTCCCAAGTGACGCTCTATAAAAACAGACCAGTAATTTCTAAGTTTAGGAAATAGTGCATAATATAGCCTCCCTCTGAAGATGTCTAATGCACCTCAGTTTCTTAAAGCCTCTTTGAAGATCTGCAGGGAAAATAGAACTGTTTTGCATTGTTAACTGCATCATTTTCCAAACTTATTTGACACCTATGAGCAGCTGTAGAGTAAATGTTCCGTAAAACACATCTTGTGTGGGCAGGCAGCGGGAGCCTGAAGGGCTCAGAGGGAGTGCAGTTCATTGATGTGAAGGAGTAAAAGTTCCCTCATGCCAGAGCGGGGAGGGTGTGGACTGCATGCAGATGTGCCGAACACCTGCTGCCACACTGATCCCCTCTATGTTCCTGGGATAGAACCACTGGTTGTGCTGGTAAGAGAAGAAGGGCGAGTTCTCATTCCTGAGCAATGAGAGCATTTATTGCCCTTTAGTATTAATGAAGCTCAGTGCACACGCCCAGAGAATTTGTTCACTGGCTGGAGAGGGAGCTGCATAGCCATATGCATGCATATGTAAACTTTTGCTGACTAGCAACCTGCTTTGATCTCATACGCACCCTGTTTTCTTTGTTTAGCCCAAGCCTGGGAGCTTTCTCTGAAGAAAAGCCTCAGTCGACTCCTTTCTGAGGTCTTTGCAAAGCCCTGGCCTCTAGCTTGCTCTTCCACCCAAGATCTCTCTCAGTATAGTACTATCACCAGCAGTCACTTTATAGCTACAATTGTGTTCTCCTACCCCCTTCTCAGGAGTGTCGACCCCATGCTGTGCCTCAGGATGCTTGGTGCTTTTGCTGATAACTGGCATGTGACATTACCTTCTCCGTTTTTGGTTTTCAGATAGTAGCAGGGCAAATGAATGTGCAAACAGCTTATCTTTCTGTAGCCAAAATGGGACTGAAAGCAATTTTGGAACTGAAGCAATTTTGGAACATGCCAAAGCTTCATTATTTATCATGGATGTGTTTCTAAAGGTCAACAGAAACAATTAAGAGGACAAGTTAACAAAGGCAAAGGGGTAATAAACAATGGCAATCTGTTGGAGTTTCATTCTGCTTTCTGGGCATTATTATGGAATGAATTAGATATCCCAGGAAAGAGTATTTGGAGAGAGACATTGCAGGAGTAGAAGGAGGCAGAGAGACAATCCGCTGTAAGGGAGTTGTCTCCTTGGCTTTCTCTTCACAGTATGCACAGAATCTATCCATTTCGGGCAATTTCCACTTGGTCCGCTGTGGCCCACCACGACTACCAAATGTCTCATCCAGGACCGTTGCGCCAACTTCCTGGGTTCTACTCTGCCCTCCTTACAGTTTACCTTCCCACAGGGCCAATGTCAAGGGCAGTCTTTACAGAATGTGAATTAGCTCATGTCTCTCTCCTAGCTCCTACACTCTAGAAGCTGTCTATTACATCCTGAGTAAAATCTGAATACCTTTCCTGGTTATGAGCCCTGCCCGCCACGGCCCTTGCCTTCCCCTTGGACTCTGCTGTCCACCCATCTCTACTACTCCTGGCCTGCGCTGGCCTGTGTGTTCCTCCAGCATCCTAAGCTCTTTCCAGCCTGGCAGGCTTTGCCCTAGCTCTCCCCTATCTTGATGTGCCCAGCTCCCTCTGGTCATCCTTTAACATCATCTTCCAGAGTCACTTCTTTAAAGAAGGCTTTTCTGACTGTGCAGGCTAGACAGCTATTTTCTTTCTACTTGCTACTCCATTTTAATTCTCAGTGCAACACTTATCGCGTCCACAAAATATACATGGTTGAGGACTCAAGGTCTGCACGAAACTACGTCAGTGTCCATCCTCACGCTGTCTTCCAGGACAGTCCCTGGAATCAGTTGTGTCCAATAGAAGCAATGGGAATCGCATAGATTTTTTTTCTTGTAGCTACTTATGTAAAATGTAAGAAGAAACAGGTGAAATTAATTTTGCTATCTTGTTTAAGGCAGCATATCCAGCCGATATATTCATCTCTGAAAATGCAGAATGTATTTTGCATTTATAGCACATGTCATTTTCCCCTTGCCACAGTGAAGTGGTAGTGGCTAGTGGTTGCTTTATTGGACAGTCAGCTCTAGATTTCAGTTTTCAAGTGTTCAGGATCGGAAAAACATGCTTTGCTACTTGTGGGAGTAAAAAGAGGAATCACGAGGTTTTAAAACTTGAGTCTATTTGTAATCCCCCAAGTTGCCAGTGTGAAACTACACAGAAACCCTGGTTAACTCTTTTATTGATTAATACAGATCCTAAAAGAAAAGAAAAATTTAAGACACTATATTTCTGTCATGGAAATATTTTTATCTTCTGAGCTCCCTAGATTTGTTAAGACATTTAAAATTGTATTAAAATCTCCATTTCTTCTCTCTCATTTCCTCTCTTCCCTTCTCCCTTTCTCCCTCTTTCCCTCTATCTGTTCCTATCTAGCTACAGTATCTTTTGGAACTGCTAGCTAGGAACAACCTGTTTCTCTTCTCTAATCCTAATGTTCCCAGGGAAGGTTTATGAGAAGCTTTGTTTCTTCATGGAGGAACAGCTTTTTCTATTGTTTACAAAGTTAAAGAATTTCAATAATCAAATTGGTGCCATTAAAACAAAATCAGACTTAGAAGTGGGTTAAAACTAAACATGATATCAATGGAATGAGCTCAAGAGAGCATTATTTTAACATTATCCAAAATTTATGTGTTCCTTTTGACCCATAATTCTAATACCAGCCTAGTCTTGGACTTTTTTGGGCCATGGATTGGGTGAATTTACTTACAAAGGACAGGCATCAAAACCTGGCTGTGGGTGACATTCTAAGTTGGAGAATTCAGTCTAGCACTTAAGACTGCAGGAATCTGCAAGCATAGCAGTGTACTGGGGAAAACTGGAATTTTCTCATGGCAGGTTAGCTTGTTTGGAAGCTGACACCTCTGTCTTGCATTGAGTTCTGTCTTGCACAGTACTTTCCGTCTTCTATAGCAACTATGATGACTCTGTTGTGGACTTTCCACTGGGTCTACTTTTATGAGTTATACCACTAACAGGAATGGTCCTCTATTACTATACTCAATACTCCAGACTTTAGCATTTAGAGTTTCCCATTCCAGTTCATCTGTGGTAAGCAGGACAGTACATGGAAAAGCCTACACAAGACTTAATCTCATTTAAGAGACTTACTCAAGTAGAGTTGGAGCTCAGACTCATCAAAAAGGAGGCAAGGCCAGTACCTAATTTCAGGTGCTAAAGCCACACCATTCAATAGGGCAACCCAATCCAGAAGTTGAGTGAAATCCAGAAATGGACACGGGTACTGAGGGGTAGAGGAATGAAATGAGCATGTCCAGTGCTAACTCTGTCCTCCCTGCAGATTCTGAACATGACTCTGCTCTCCACAGTATTAGCCAAACAGAAAAAAATATGGAAAAACTCTAAATATTACAAATTCATCCCTATAGCATTTGTGTAAAGCAAAACTAGCAAAGCCTCAGAATTTTTAAAAAATTAACTTTCTGCAAAGATTTTAAAAAGTCAAAGTTATTAATAAATGGCAACCACAATAGCAGGTGTAATGAAGGGACAGTGTTTTAATAGTCATTCTTTAGCCTCATTTTATCTGTAGGAGCCCCCAGAGACTTCGTGACCTCTCTTCTTATTAGAAAACAGAGGATTTATAAGGGGACTCTTTGATCACTACTAAAATGCAGTTGTCTATGAAGGGAGCATTTAAAAAGTTTACAAACAGCTGTGACCTAGAGGTTGCAGAAAAAGTCGTGATCCCTGGGATAAGGAAATGAACTGAGGTGTGTGCTCAGTGTTGCGAGGAAAAGTTAAAAGAAAAAACAAAACTACAGTCCCTTCCCTCCAATTGCTTTTACCTCTTTCAGAAAGCAAGTCAGTGTTGATTAAAATTAAAGTGGTACTGAACTTGTGTAAAGAAAAGCCAGACAATGAGGAGGAATGGACTTCAGCTGAGACAAAGGATGTGAATAGACCAGAGGGCGTAGGATTCACAGGTGCTGTTCCCTCTGGCCGGAAGTAACTTCCCTCATTCCACACTCTTCAGGTCTCAGATAGAGGGTTTCTTGGCTTTGAAAATCTTCCTTGACTACCAGCCTGGATGGTAGGTAAACCTCCTTGCTGTATACTCCAAAGAACCCCAAACTTCACAGCACTTACAATATGGAATTATAATTTGGTGATCTCTCCTGACTATTCTAATGTACACACCTCAAGGGCAGGACATTTGCTTGCTCATACCATACCATACTAGACCATAGTATGGTACCATACCATACTAGACCTTATACCATATTAGATTGCTGCCTGCTGGAGCCAAAGCTCTGTTTGTTGAATGAATGGGCATAGTCTGTCTTTGATACAGTGATGGTGGTAAGGGAGGAGGCAGGGAGAGGTGGAGTAAGGGAGGACAAGATAATGCTGAGTAATCTAGGAGAGCAGCACACTGAGCAGGACAGCAGGCCCATGTGGGAGGGCTTCAGCATTTATGGGCATCTTGGGCAGGGTATAAAAATGGAAAGATGGGAGGTGGGAGAAGAGAGGAGGACAGAATGGGAGATGACTGGGCGGCAAAGACAAACTCTACATTCCAAAGTTGGATTTTGTCTTCTCTTCTTGAGAGGAAGCTTGAGCTCAACTGCTCCCCTTCTCTGGGCCTTGGGTGAGAACACAAGCAGGGTCAGGCAGTGCAGGACTCTTGGGTTCTAGTCTTGCTACTTCCATTAATATCTTTTGCGATCCTGAAGAGTGCAGAGATCTTATGTGAACCTCCCCTTTCTTTTTTTTTTTTTTTTTTTTTGGTTTTTCTCCGGTACCGGGAACCGAACTCACGACCTTGCACTTGCCAGGCAAGCGCTTTTTGCTGCTGAGCTAAATCCCCAGCCCCTCCTCCCTTTCTTATATGCAAGAAAAGGGTAAACCAAGGTGAATAAATGAGATAATGTACCTGGGAGTGCTTTGGGGTCTTTTTACTATTTTTTAAGACCTCTATTTTCTTGTAAAATGAAGGAACTAGGACTATGAGGAACTGCCAGCCAGACCATCGCAGGGACAGCGGGGAGGTGCATCAGGTTAAGGTGAGAGGTCATGGAAATGCTGAGAGAAGATGGGTATGTGTGAATTTGTGAAGTGTATCTCCCAGCCCAGCTTTGGCCATCCATGATTTAACCCAATACTTTCAGGCGAGAACGGAATTTCCCAACAGCCAGCCTGGATTCTAGTGCTTCTTAATTGAGCTCTATGGCAGAATTACAGGATATCCCTAGAGATGACTATGTCCAGTGCCATCAGCTGATGGAATGGGTCCACAGAAGCCAAATGGCTAGACATAAACATTCTGTTTTGACGAAGTAGCAAACTTTCTTTTTTTTTTTTTTTTGTTTTTTCTCCGGTACCGGGAACCGAACTCACGACCTTGCGCTTGCCAGGCAGGCGCTTTGCCGCTGAGCTAAATCCCCAGCCCCAGTAGCAAACTTTCTAAAACACTGTGAACTTGGGTAAAATTTTGACCCCAGATCCAAGTCCAACTTTCCTCAATCCCGATTCTGGCTGAAAGGGAGAAAAATGAGGTCAGAGAATTTGAGCAGGGTGCTTTATTACCCAGCCCCGTCTTATTCCGCCTCTAGCATTGACTTCTCCCCTGTTTGCTATTTGCAACTTGATATCAGGATTTGAATTTCTGTTGTTGCAGCTGCCCGGGAGATGAGGCAATTTGAAGTTGAAAGTCCTCAGAGAAGCTACAAAATGATGATGATGAGGAGGAGGGCAGGAGGGGAAGAAATGTGAGTGTGAATGTACATGCTTGTGGGAAAAGGAGGGTTTGATTATGGGGATTGGAAGTGAGGGAGAGGGCGGGAGGGAGGAAGAGGAGTAGAAAAGATTCAATTATGCCAATTATTTTCACACTCAGAGATACTTCCAGCTATGGAAGGAAGTTGGTACAAGAAAAAAGAGTCTCAATGTGGTATATTTCACAGCACCAACTTTGGACTTAATTTTACTGAAAAGTGGCTAACTTTGTAGGTTTTGGGTAGAATTTGGTGTTTGCTGTGGACAGAGGGTGTTTTGAACTTGTTCTTTTTAAATTCAGTAAAGTCAGCCAAGAATTCTAAGTACTCATCCCCCATTCCAATGAAACAATGAAGGAAAGATTTCCAAGGGTGAGAACTACATGAATACTACTGAGAATTCAAACATCCAGAGAAGATGCTGTGCCAAAATAAATCACACCCTCTAGGAATATTTCCTATAATTTTTTTTCTTTCCTTTGTCTTACATGACCCACTTCTTACAAAAGTTTATAAAAGGTCAGATGAGTGGCCAGCAAACTGGACTTTCTTTCCAGATCTGTTGGGGGCCTCATAGCCTGCTGTCAGACAATGACAGACATTCCTAAGATCTGTTTATTCCAGGCCAATATAAATGTGTCAACTGTTGTGTAAAGAAATTGACCTCCTCATAATGACTTCAATTTTTACATAACTTGATTCTTTTCATTATTGCTGTTTTGAACACAAGAAAATAATTGAGAAAAAGCTTTTCATACATGTTGAGATGTAACTAAAATGCTCTGAAATCAGTTTCGCTCTCTGAAGTAAATGAACTCCCCTCTACTGGAACATTTCACATGTGTCCTTCTGTTGAGTCTGGGCAACGTCATGCTTCCTACACTGGCAGAGACATTCACTCTGAAGCTGCAACAGGCTTCCTTCCTAGGGGTGGCTGGCTTCTTCCTGTCCTCAGGAGTTCTGTCCCCAGCTGCTGTGCTCCTCCATTCTCTTCACGGAGACAGAAGCCATCAAAGGGTGCCCTCAGCTTCCTGTCCTTTTGCCTATACCTGGACTCTGCCACCCACATCACCAAGGGAGACAGACACTTCCGGGCCTGCAGGTCCTTCACCCTCTTCTAAGGCTCCGGCACCTCTCCATGAGTTTTCCTGTTCAAACCCTTCCTCTGCTGGGTCTGTCATGAATCATCCATCACACTCAGGTTAATCACACTTAGGTTTTCCCATCTTAATTTGATGAAGTATCCTTTTTCCCAACTCCAGATCTCTTCCTGCTCCTGCTTAGCTTCCCTCTCATTTTCTTCTTCCTGAAGTGAAAGTTTACTTCTGCTCACATCATCCTGCAGAGCCTGGGGTTCCAAGGTTGTGGAGACCTCCTTTCACTAGTCTCCGGAGAGGGCTGCTTTCTGTTTTTTTTTTTGTTTGTTTATTTTTTTCCGGTACCGGGAATCGAACTCATGACTTCGAGCTTGCCAGGCAGGTGCTGTGCTGCTGAGCTAAATCCTCAGCCCTCGAGAGGGCTGCTTTCTGTGCGCATCTTAGTTTCTTGTCACTTGACACTACTGACAGCATCCTTCTCTGGGATGTATCCTTTTCCTGAACCTTCCATGATGCCAGACTCTCCTGCTACCACTTCCCTGGTGAAACCCTCTTAGTCTCCTTGCTCCCCTCTTACTTTTCCCACCCCATTTAAAAGACATGACCCTTGGAGCTTGAGGCTTAGCCTACTTCTCCTTTCTCTCTCCATTCTGCCTGGTTTACTATTCACATTAGTCTCAGCTGCTATGCTGATGACTCCCAGGTCTGGACCTCCAGCTCAGAACACCCTGGGGTGGGAGCAGAGCTGGCTGAAGCATATGGGTATTCAGGGCACGATGTTTAAGGGGACTCTTCCTCTTAGGTCCCTGCAGGGGCTGGCCCTACACTTGCCTGACTCTGGAAGCTAGCACTTCCCCAGATTTCCCATTCTAACTGCCTCACACACCTCACGCTGGCCCTGGCCTGCTGCTGGTCATCTCTTTGGTGAACCACAGGCACCAGCAACTCTCTGTCCTCCCAATGCTCTCCTTCCCTACGAATGCAACATGGCCAGCTCTGTCACTGAGGTGAGGCTGGTGTCCGCCTGACATTTTCCTCTCCCATCCTCCACACCCAAGCAGATACCAATCAGCAACTGTTTTCTCAGTCTCTTTTAAGAGTAGGAAAATGTACTAGGGAAAAGGAATGGGGGATAAGCTTAGGGACTAGGAATAGCTTCTGAGAGACAGAAGGGGTCCTGAATGTGTTGCCCTCCTCAGTATCTCTTGCATAAAGGCTCTGTCCTCCTGATCCACACTCTCTCACTGTCACCATATCCACAACCAGTCAGTATGATCTTGCTAAAACACACCTGTGACAAGCTCCTGCTTATGCATGCAGTAATCTCCGCTGTCTCCTGGGGGGGTCCCTGACCAGGACCCATGGGCTTCTCTGTCTCTCCTCTTGCTGTCTGGCTCTCTGTTGTCCTCCATCCCACACCTGGCATCTCCCAAAGGAACCACAATTTCACCTACATATCTTTGCCCAAGCTTCCCTTGAACTGGACTATCCCCCCTCTTTTATTTGGTCTCCACTTAGATGTCGCTTTGAGAAGCCACTTTTGACTCTAAGGCTGATGCGATGCCTTCCTAGGAGCATCCCTCAACCTCACTGTACTCAACTCCATCACAGAGCTTTTCACACTGGGTGGTGCGTGGGGACTCTCCCGTCCGTCTCTGCTCTTTATTTGCTGCACAACACTCTGCACTAACACAGTGCTCATCTCAGATCTGGTGAATGAATGAACGCGTTCAGGAATCCTCTGCACGGACTTCCAGTCTGGAAGTCTTGAACTCATACGTACCTCAGGTCTACCTCCTACCAGCTGTGTGTCCTTGGAAAAGTGAGTAACCTTTCCTGACATTAGTTGCTGCTCTGTCAAATGGAGACATCAGTACCCTAAATGATCACAAGTGGGTCTGTGCTTCTGCAACCATTTGCAGCTAATTCAGTGCTTGACCCTTGTTTCATCCACACTGTACACTGAACTCTAAGCAGCTAGAATTAAGTGCCCCTACCAGAAATGGTTTCTAATGGGAGTGCAGTAGATGTGTGATTGTTTTAGGGAAATTAACCATGACAAGCCTTTAAAATTGACAGTAAAGATAGAAAAAGAAAAAGAAAGAAAGAAGGGAAAGGAAAGAGGAAACACAGGGCATGTGAAAGAGGGCAAGAGAGAGGAGCAGAATGCAGATGCTTTCCCCGAGGTCTGCTCATGCTAAGGGGACTCATCTGTTTGGAAAGACCAGGCTGAGGATGCTACCCTGGAGATAACCTGTCCAGGCCATGCTAGTCTCTGAGACATCAGGGAGCCACGGTGCCCATGTGACTGGCTCCTTCCCTTATTGGAAACAGCTGTGCAGAAGGCAGTCCCGGAGCTGGAGCTCTGGGAGAGGATTTCACAACCTCTGGGGCTGGACTTCAGATGAGCTTCAACATTGTTTATGTGTATTTTGTGTGTGTTTCCTCGGGTCTCTTCTGATTGTGAGGGGACCCAGCCTTGCAAAAAAAAAAAAAAAAAAAAAAACAAAACGCTCAGAGTGCCTGAGTGTGTTGTGTGCAGACAGAAATGGAACGTACCAGCCTCCTGATGCCTGATCAGAGCACAAGAAGCTGAAAACAAAACAAGACGTAGTGGGCCACCTAGAAGCAAGTGAAGGGGGTGGAGTTCATCTTAGTGGGAAAGGACTCGGGAGTTATATTTCTTCTATCTTCTTTACCCAAGCAGTAACAATAATGGTAGCTGGACTCTAAGTTAGCCAGCTTCCTGGTAAAAAAAAGACTGTTGAAAGCACACGAAGATCGTAATTATCTACTCTCCTTATGCCTATGAGACCCTTAGAGTTATCTTTAAATTGTTTCAGGAAGGAAAGATGAGACACTCTCTGCATCAAAAATAGGGATTTGGACCTGCTCACTGGTTCTCAGCCCTGGGTGCTCATTAGAATCACCAAGAGCTTCTAACACCCTGAGGCCTGTACCTCCTTCCAGGCAGTTAAACAGAACCACTGGGGTGGGACCCCGGTATCAGTGCTTGAAAGCTAGGTTAGAAATTACTGGATTCCACAAACTGTGATTTCTGACTTCCCTTACTTTTCTGTGTTTGAAATTAGCAATCTAGGAATGGTACTGTCTACAAATGGGAAGGGCTCCTCTACAACTCTCTGGGACTGAATATTTAGATTTAAGCTAAACTAGTTATTCTCCAGTTGTATGCTACTTGGAAAAACACAGGAGAGCAGTGACTTGGTGGCCAGTTGCTTAGAACATATTGACTTAGAATCCAAGCTCTCAGGGTTAGAGGGGCCTGGACTGTCATCCTCTTCAGTTTATCTTACTGGTTCTTTAAAGTGTAGTGCCCGGGCCAGCAGTATGCACACCACTCAGGAGCTCATCAGATATGCTAAGTCCCCAGCCCACCCCAAATCAGAAACTGAAGGTGGACCCTACGGTCTGTGTTCTAACAAGCCTTCGACGTGGTTCTGATGCTTCAGTTTCAGAATTACTGACCTGCTACAGGACTCACCTACTATACCCTGGCCACATGGTTCAACTTACGTTATCTTTGCATGATGATGTCAGTTACTGGGGCACTAGCCCATTCTGTTCTTAAAACTGTTATCCTTTAGTTCCTTTAGATGAAATCTGTTTCCCTGGGACTCTGACCTGTAGTGTTACAGTTCTGTTCACTGTACGGACCCACAGTAAATCCAAGTCACCTTCTACACTTCAAAGAATGAATACAAGGTATGGTTTCAGTTTGATATGACATTATTCTCTATGGTTTTCAGTTTAATATGGTTGGAACTTCTAGTTTAATATGACAAAGGACACCATAGGCTTAGTGAACTTTCAGGTTTTAGGATCAGATATGTTTCTGGTTTGCTAGTTAGGTGGTTTCTTTGGGAATTTTTTCTTTTATGTCCGCAGGGGTTTCTTGGCGGGCTAGAGGAACAATGGGTCTGTGAATCCACCCCACACAGGAAGAGGAAGACAGGTGACAGCAGATGGGAAGCAGCCACCTCTCCTGCTGTCATACGTGTTTTGCCTGATGTGAGGCATGCATAGCTCCGAGGGGGTGGGGCGCCCCTGCTAGGGAAGGGCAGTAGTTCTGGGCTCAAGCCTCCAGCATCCCCTGCTCTGTGGTGGGGTGGAGGAGTCAGGCCTTTCAGCAGCTCAGAGGCCTTGTTGGTGGGCTGTGTCTGCTTCTGGAGTGTGTTAGCGGGGAGGAAGGCTGGGCAGACAGGAACTAAGGTAGATGAATTGCCAGATTTCTGTGAGGTCAACATACGTTTGAAGCAATTCAGAATGTAACTGAGAGTGTAACTGATGGTTTTTGTTTTTGTTTTGTTTTAAAGGAAAAACCCAGAACCTGTGACTCTTGTTCACGAGCACATGTCTGCATGTAGTCATGTTGAGTTTATGGAAAATGTGGTCAGCCTCATAAATCAGTGCTGAGGAATTCTTACAGTCAATACCGGGCAAGACATGCAGGTCTGTAGTGAGTCTGCGAAGGTTATGCAAAACAAAACAGAGGAAGCATGTGGACCAGGGTCTAATATGGTCCTGCCTGCCCACAGATGCCCTTGGAATTCTCTCCTGGAAAGTCATAATACAGCTCTGGATTGCAGCTCCTACCCAGTCTCTGACTGTTGCTGTGTAGCTTCATGTATACATGGAGAAGTGTGTGGTCGTTACCATGACGACAATGACACAATTCGCGCAATCTGTTTTCTCCCATGTATCATGCAATTTTAGCAGAAGTTGTGGAAAGAAAGTCCAAAGTAAACTAGATAATTGGAGTTTGAAATGGCTCTGAGAATGTGTTCAAATGTATTCTAATTCTTACATGTCCTGTACTTCAAATCTATTCCTTTGTGTCATTGGGAGTGGAAGCTCAAGGTGGTACTGTGTCTTTTCAAAACCATGTTTTTCAAAAACAATGCTAATACAAGCTTTCATTCAGAATTAGTAAATAAGATATTCAATTTAGGTATGATACATTGAAGGAAATTCCATCAGTTTCTATTCCATTGTTCTTGGATTTATACAACTGGCCTTATGCCCTAAACATTGAATATAAATGATATTTCTTTCAATCTTTTCTTTTTCTTATACCCCTCCCACTTCTTAGGCTGACCCAGTTTATCAGTTTGTTTCTGCCAAATTAATCAGTCGAGAGTGGGATGCTAACATATTTTTAGTGAAGAATTATTTAGTTGCTCAGAATAAAGAAGGACTGCACATTGTATCGGCATGTTGTGTCACAAAAATACGACTACTGAACCCTATTTTATTATTTTTAATGTTAGATAAGTGTCAGGAATCCTTAAAACCTTCAGTTTTTCACAGCAGCCAGATGCATAATTTAAAAGACCAAATATTTTCCTGAATATTAACTTTCTAGCCTGGGTCCATTTCTGTATTAGGATTTTTACTTTAAAATTTTCTGTGGAAACTCATTCCTCTTGACTTTCACATAAAAAACCCCCATGTGCCATGAGAGCCAAGTTGACCCAGTGTTTATATGCTTGGTTTCACAACATTTTATCTGCCATCCCTGCCACAATTTGGAGCAAGAAGAGCTATCTGGGTAGTAGCTCCCATAAGCTATGAATCTTAAGACTAATTCCCCCTAGTCACAAACTGCCCATTGTTACTGATGCAAAGTGAATGTAGTGGCAGGGTCCTGATAGTGTTTGTAGAGACGTCATGTTGGAGAATGGGCGATGCAAAGATGTATGTATCCAATGCACACCAATTGCAATGTGGCTTGATGTTTGCACCAACCATTCACAAGGGTAGAAAAACACATAGTACATAATCATAATAATATTTGCCATCGATTGGAAATTATTCTATGTTCAACACTGGGCCAAATGTTTTACAAACATTACCACCCTCCACCAGGCCATCTACTTTATAAAGGTGACATAGAGAAGTTAGGCGGCTTCCCTAAAATTTTCCAGACCAGTCAAATCAAATCAAAGTCTGCCTCATTTGCAAAAGAAATTTAAATTAGACACCTTTTGCTTTTGGATAAATGGGCCCAATTCCCAAAGAAGTGAATGGAAGATGTAGGTTGCTGGTAATTGAAGGAGAATTTGATATCATGCCTTGCTTGGGAAAAACTGTAGAAGAGCATGTAGCTCTGACAAGAAGAAATAGCAGTGTCACTTTCTGAACCAGAACAAATTATTCAGTTTCCCTTCTCTGTTTCCTCATTTACAAAGCATGCAGACATGGGCTAGATAGCTTCTAAGGTCTTTGTGGCTTTCCTGTCTAACACTCCACACTTAGCTCTGGCAGTTCCTAGACCAACCCTCACCCAAGATAGAACACCCGCTGCAGTCCGGGATGCTTGGCCCTAGACCTGCTGGGTGACAGTAAGAGTTCCCTGTGGCCCCTTATGCTTTTATCCTGACCTTGTGGTTACTGCCACTCTGTTCTCTGCCACCGGCCAGTGTGGCCAAAACCCAGCAGGGCTTCCTCCTGGGACTGTCCAAAGTTTGATCCAGCCATATTCTAGTACTTACTGTGCCTCTAAGTTGAGAGGCTCAATAGTTTTCTGTGAAAGTCCACTTTAGAATCAAATAAAAACTCAAGGTTTTGCGAAAAGTAGAATTTTGAAAATTAGTATTTGATTTGTGACAACATAAAGCAATAACTTCATTTGTGTATCTGGAGTTATCATAGCTCTACAGGGAGAGAGAGAAGAGAGAGGGAGAGAGTGTGAGATAGATAGATAGACAGATAGATAGAGAGAGAGAGAGGGAGAGAGAGAATCCATGTATCCATGAAGGAGTCCTACCGTGTCTCCCGGCTGTGGCCGCATCACAGATACACGATCATATCCTTTCCTTAGTAAGACCCATAAGGCATCGAGTTTTCCCTGAAATAAAACAAAGGCACCAAGATTACGTATGAAACCAGACCAGTAGCCAGCCACTGCAGACACACTGCGCTTCCCATGGTTCTTCCGCCTTGTGAACAGTTCAGTGCTGGGAACAGGGTTGTGACAGGGTTAGTGACTCTTCAGTCCCTAAACATAAAACTCAAGCTTCACAAATGCAGGAGAAGAGAGGACGCTGGTGCTCACGAAGGATACACCTGACACTTGAGTGCAGCTCTAAATTTCCAAACAGGAAGTTCATTCAGGCACTTGGCTTTTGTCCTTATCGCATTTCTGGGCATATCTTTACCCACAAGTCAATCCCTTCAACTTTCGCTAATGTTTCTTCTTCCCAGTCAGAGCTCAGAGCTCATAAATGAAGACAAAGATGACAGTGTTGGGAAAATTCTTGGCCCTCTTGACAGAACAAAGCCAGGGAAAGGCCCCTGGGATGCAGACCTCTGGCTGTGTGTTAGGTTCCCTCTTCAGCTACAGCTTGCTCTGTAGGCCCAGGCTTCAAGAGCAGAGGAGCAAACAGCATAGATGACTGAGAAGAGTGAATATGCTGGTCCCTGGGACTCCCTGGGACAGGTTACCTTCTGTGGTGAAAAGAATATTGCAGGTGTGGTTACGTTAAGGGTGTTGATAGACTGGCTCATGCAGGTGGGCCCAATCTACCATATGGGTTCTTTATAGAGGGAGCCAGGACAGTCAGAGCCCGAGAAGCGCTGACAGAAGCAGGGGCAAAGCAGTTCATTGTGAGGACTCAACCCAATGTGGCTGGCTTTGGAGGTGGAATGAGGCACAAGCCAATGGATGTGGGCAGCTTCCAGAACCTGGAAAGGACAAAGGAGTGAACTGTTGCCTGGACCTCCAAGAAGAACACAGCCCTGCCCACACCTTGATTTCAGCTCAAAAAGGCCCCTTTTGGGTTTCTGACCTTCAGAACTGTAAAACAATAAATTTGTGTTGGGTTAAGCCTCTAAGTTTGGGGTACTTTTTTATAGCAGTGAAAGGAAACCAATATAGCCCTTACATTCCCTGAACGGTATTTATGTTTAATTTGCTTATCTACTGTCTCTGCCCACTGGAATGCAGCTCCAGAGAAGCTGAGTAAGCGTTGGTTTTGTTTTCTGCTGTATGCCCAGCTCTCAAGACAGCATGTGGTGCTCGATAGGTATTTACTGAGTGATGGACGCTCCTAAGTGCTAGATGCTTTTACATCGGTCTTCTTACTTCATTCTCTCAACAGTCCTGAAAGGTGGCAGGGAGGAAATGGAGGGCCAAAGTGATCGAGCAACTTGCCCAAAGGCACACAGCTTGTAAACTGGAGTTGGGATTGGAACCCATGTCTGTCTAAGGGGGAAGCGCATATACTTTCTGTTATACTATCTGCAGAATTGCACACATGGCTCATGCTTGTATGCACAGCTTTGGAATAGGGCTTCTAAACTGTGGGCTACAGATCTTTAAACTTTATGAGACCACTTTTGTGTGTTAGGAGTAGAATTTAAAAAAATAGAACAGAAAAGAAAATGTAGGGTTAATAGCACACAGTGAGGATAAACATCAGTCAGTGAAAAATTTTGTTTCAGATGTGTAGGAGTGTGTGCATGTGTGTCTGAGTGTGCACTTTTCTCTTCAGCCTTTGACAACTGTTGTTGGAGCTTCTGTGGGTTAAACTTTATCTTGCCAAGTGTAGTGTTTCCATGTCCTTTAGAAAAGAATTTACAAAAGCCTCTGAAAATATTCTGAAATGACTTTAGAGTGGTGAATAGAAGTACTGCTGTGTTCAGCGTGGTTTTCTTCATTAAATGATTTCTGTCATCAGCTGAATGTTTTCCTTTAAGGTTCTTTGGGATAAGCATTTATAGTTCAGGATAGAACCAGGTGGATTTCCTGGATGAATGCCTCTCTCACCCCACCTTTTTTTTTTTTGAGGAGGAGGGATGGCCTTCCAGTATTTGGCTTTGTAAATCAGCCCACCCACATTGTTGTCTGTTAATCACTCAACTCCTTGACAAGTGAGCAAGGAGAGAGGGCTAAAGATGTGGCCGGTAAGGAGCTATATTAATTAACTCAGCAGATATTTAAAGCTATGTGCACAGGGTAAGAGCAGAAACAGCCTAGATGTACAGTCACAGGAGAAAGGTAGTAAATTATGCGCCTTTCTGGCAGCACATCATGCTGCAGAGCTTAAGCACAAGGTACTGAAGTCAGACCGTCTGAGTCTGTAGCTGGGATCCCCTTGCGGGGAACGTGCTGCTTGGACATGCTGGGACATGGTATTTCATCTTCCTAAGCCTTATGTTTCTCATCATGATGAGGGAGATAATAGTACTGTCTACACTATAGACTTCTAAGGTTTAAAACTAAACATTAAAGTTAGGTTCTTATCTCAGATAAAGTATTTATTCCATGTTATCTATGTTCGTAGTAAAGTCATTAAGTGGTAATTTGGGCAGCTCTGTAGAAAGATTAGAAGAGAATGTAAGACAGGGTGTAACAATCCAGTGAGCTAAACTTTCTAAGATATATCTGTCCATCCTCTATGTTCTTCAAGCCCCTTTCCCCCAGCCTGCAGTTTTATCCCTCTTCATTGTTCTCCAGCTGGGCTTCTGCTTCAATCCCTCCACCAAAACGGCTCTTGCTGGGGCCACCCTTGGCATCCAATTGCCAAACACTCAGACATTTCTTTCTTTTTTTTTTGATTTTTCTCCGGTACCAGGAACCGAACTCACGACCTTGCGCTTGCCAGGCAGGCGATTTTGCCGCTGAGCTAAATCCCCAGCCCCCAGACATTTATTTCATGCGGTCCATTTAAGTGCTCTGCTGTGCTGAGCTCTCCCTTCTGGACCCGCAGCCTTGGCCCCTTCCCTCTTGCCTCTCTGGTTAGAAGCTTCAGCTTCTTTGGCTCCCTTTGGTTGAGTGCTCTTGTCTAGTCTCATAGCTCATGAATTCTGTCTTCAGCTTGGTCCTCTCTTGAGCTCAGATGTGGATCTCCAGTGACCCATTCAATCTTAATTGTAAGGTTGACGTACCACAGGTATCAAAAGCCAAATGTCATAAATGGAATGAACTCTTTTCTCCCTACAACTGTTCCCCTTTTTGCACAATCTGAGACAAGGAGATCACTGTAACTTTTCCCCTCTGTCATTTCCTCGTGGCCAACACCAAGCACACCGTGGGGATGGTCTGTCTTAGGAGCTCTCCTGTCTCCTCTCCCTGCCCAGCCTGGTCCCACCATCTCTCTGGCTCCTGCTTTGGCCCGGGCTCACTCACCCTGTGAGGAGTTTCTGAGTAGTCCTTTACCTCCAGGCTCTCCGTCTTCTCTGTTTACTGATTAATGTCAGATTTAATTGCTAGCCCAAATGGATGTATTGCAGTTAATAAAATAAACATGAAACATCATACCAGCAGAGTGAATTTGGGCAAATTACTTAACCTCTTTCTGTCTTAGCTTTTCCATTTGTAAATGGGAGGAGTAGTAGTTTCTATATTTGAGGGCTGTCTATGAGAAATAAACAACCTGTTAGCACTTGGGATCTAGACTGACTTGCAGTGTGTGTTTCACTCAGGTGAGCTGTTGCGCTTCGCACTTCCGGCTAAGGTAACACTGGTTCTATTGTATCCTAGATGTCCTGAGTTAATTGATCCAAAATGACCCCAAAGTCCCCAGTCTGTGGCACAGAAATGATCTGGGTAATCTACACATCTCTACTCTTCTGACTTCTTTATCAGGTAACTTTTAAGGCAAGAGTTACAGAAAGCTTTAGAAAAGAATGATTACAGCTAAGATGAGAATAAAAAAAAACTCTCTACAGTTAAAAAGAAGTCCACGATGGAGCCTAGATTTTCCGAATGTAGGCAGAAGGCTGTCCTTTAAAGACAGTAGCACAAGGGTCTACTTATAATAACCCTTGGAGGCCAATATCCCTCTGTTTATCTCAGATTTGGGTGTCCAGAGTACAGAAACCTCCCCATATGGTGAATTTAGACCCTGATCCTTACTCCCCCAGTGAAATGCTGAACTGCTCCTGCGAAGCTGAAACAAAGATTTCTCCACAACCTTGGAACCCTCTGCCAGAATGCATTAGCTAGCATTTAAAAATAGCTTTTTACCATATGAAGCTGACACAATATTACTATGAAATGTCAAATAAAATGAGAAATTTACCAATTCCAGGCTCCCAAACTATATCTCACTCAGCCTGAGAATAGTTTGAATCCAGAAAGATGGAAAAACTGGATGTTCCATGTAAACACTGGCTTTTTGCTTCCTTCTGCACAGTGAGACCGGGCTGGAAATGTTTCTGCACTCATCACTCAAAGCGCCCTGGTGCATGAATGTTGTGGCTGGGTTCTGTTTTTTTCCCCCCAGCCAGGCAGCAGCTGTATCTTCCCACTTGTCTGCTTTAGCTAGTTGGAAGTTAGCCAGAAATTGAAAATTCTGAGGCTAGTTCAATTTACAGGACTGACACCTGAATTTGTATACTTTGAAATACGTAGTGGATACTGTGACTCAGGCTTTCCTTCAATGAAATTAATGAACAAGTTTAATGTATTTAAATTAATGAATAAGGTTGGAAGCTTACCCTACAGACCGCGTAACTTTTCTCTCCCTATTTTTTCAAGAAAAGTTTGGAACCATTCTAAAAAGTAGCTAGGGAGGGAGGAAATCTGTTTAACCTCAAACGCACATCTGAAAAAACTTCTTGCTCTAGTTTGTCTTGCTGTGTTCTATACGGCTTCATCTAGCACAGGGTCATGACTGAATGCCGCTTGACTATAAGGTCAAGGTGTTAAGGCCAAAGATGACAGGTGGCTTTCCACGAGAGATACAGAAGACCATCTTCCTCCTCAACCCTGCAAGTGGGACAGGCCAGCTCTGCCCCTCGTAGTCTATCTCTCTTACAGGGACTAGCTCGCCTGTCTGGCAACGCGGGGTCTGGTTTTTGTCCATCAGCTGTCATTTCTGTCACTTCAGTCATGAGGAAGAGCTACTGGAAAAAGAAAAAAAAGACTGCAAGCCTTCCCTCAACCCTGCTGTCAGTTCTGATTTTAATCTATCTTGTGAGCACATATCAGAGCATGACTTAACTTGTCTGAAATGGTGAGGTCTAATTTAATGAGAAGCACGGGGTATTGTAAATCTGGAGGGTGAAAACTGAGCAAAGAAAAATGCAGGTTAAATATCAGGGAAATTTTGCTGATCATGGGTCTGGAATGAGGATAGGGAGAAGTGTGGTCGGAGTGGTCACTGCCTTAAATTAGGCTGGGGGGCAGTGGGCGGAGAAGAGATGACTGTGGCCCTTCCCCCACCCACTGGGCTTGCTTAGCAACTGGGCTCACCTTCTAAACTCCGTTTCAGGGAATGCATGGAGAAGAGCGACTGTAATGCAATCCACTTAAATATGTACATAATTCTGGCCAGTTTTGCTGGGGAGCAAGGAGTTTTTCCAGGACCTGCTGAAAGTTTTGTGCTAGGCGGAGCTGTTCTCCCTGTTTATAGCAGGCATGGAAGACAGGCACAGCGTGGACAGATGATTCTCCTTGTGCTGTCTAACCCATCACTGTCTCTATTTCTCTGCCTCCTTGCTCCATCCCTTGGAAGCCTGGTTCTATACCGGTTGGCTTCCCCTTGGCCAATAGGTGGAACCAGAAGGAGTGAGAGAGCAAGATGAGGGCAGGTTGGGGCATTTGTTCCGTCTTTCTGCCCCCAGCAACGGCCTCATTCCTATAGTGCAGGAGTCTGCAAACATTTTCTAGAAAGGGCCAGAGGGTAAAGAAGGTAAGCTTTGCAGGTCAAGAGGAAAACGGAGGGTATTCTATAAGTACTTATATAACCATTTGAAAATGTAGAAAGCACGATTTGTTCATGGGCCATAGAAGCACCGGTCGTGGGAAGGACTCAGTTGCTGACTCTTGCCCCATGGCCACAGGTCCCAGTGAGCGCTCCCTTCTCCCGCACTGGGCCTCTCACTGGGCTCCAGGGCACTATTTCACCCCTGTAGGCAGAGGACATAACAGCCTTCCCTGTTGCGAGTCCCTGGGTGCGTTAGTGCCTCTGTCGGCCCCTTCACACTGTTCCGCCTCTGTGAGTACAACCCTGCGGAGCGTGCCTTCTATTTCAGCATGGGACTGTGTGATATACGAAGCCTCAGGAACGGACAGGAGAGTTTATGGAACCACATGAAGCCCACTGCTCTGTCCAAGGACTAGGAAATGGTCACAGGCACGGTGGCTAGAATGGGGCTCAGCAGGGAGTATGCATCTCCCTGGCTTTTGAACTTCTCCCCTAGTCATGGGCAAGGGCTGAAGTTCTGGTGCCACCTCTGCTTTTCCTCTGGATCAAAAATATACAGCATTGCTTTTGAATTCTGTTCTGTACTTCTGTTCTTGTTCCCACCTATCTTCATGTACCAGCCCAGGTACACATCGGATGATCTCTTTTTCTCTCCACTGAGATCTCACATCCTCAGAGCTGTCAAGAAAAACCTCACCTTCCTGAACAGTGGGTACCAATGTGAGCTGTGTGGTCAGATGGGCACAGCGCCATGGGAGTGGTGTCCTAATTACACCCCACGCCTCAGCTCTTCAACAAGAGATGGCGGAGTCCCTGCTCTGTGCCAGGTGCAAGGGTTGACTTGCAGTGCTGTTTACAGGGCCTTCAGAGCTCACTGGGTGCTTGCAGGAGGTGAAATCTGGTGGAGAGAAGGCTCACAAACATGAGTCACCACACCAGTGGCTGTTCTTACATCTAGCAAAGATTGAGCAAGTGCTGGCATTAGCTGTACACCAGGCACAAGGCACAGTCATGCCTTTTCATGCCCTAACTAGGGAGTCCTGCTGATGGGCTCAGCAAACCCACCAGCCTCCAGACACCTCTCCTATCCTTCTGGGTCTTTTTAGGCGACACTGCGACACTCAGATTCCCAGTCACTTACTATTAATCCAGCATTTGTATTGGTGGTAGAAATGGCCCTAATGTGAAATCTGATGTTGGTTTCCTTGCTGAGACTCCTCACAAATCCCCAGAGTATAGTCATGTTCTACTCGCCAATTTTAACAATAGGGACCACCGTTCCTGCCATCTGAGAACTTACTGTCGAATGCCGGTGGGAACCTTGAGGGACAACTTCTCAGCTAGATTTATTAAAACACAGATGGCTAGGCCTCACCATTAGATTTTTTTAATTCAGAGGATCTTGAGTGGAGCCCTAAAGCAAGCTTTGAGAAGGAGTAGTTTAATACAATCACTAGGGGAGAAGTTCAAAAGCCAGGACTGGGAAGGAGGTGGCCAGGGGCAACAGAGGAGCATCACGTAGGAGTCTGGATATAAAATCTGAAAAAGGAAGCATTGCAAAATAAAAGAATTTTCCCCTGATGAGAAAAAAATGGACCAATTGGTTATAAGAGCCAGCATGCTTTCGGAGGTCTTTTGTGAGGCTCAGAGCCACTAGGCCTGGGAATTTGATTTTTTTTTTTTTTTTCTGGTACCGGGAATCGAACTCACAACCTCAGGCTTGCCAGGCAGGCGCTGTGCCACTGAGCTAAATCCCCAGCCCCTTGGGAATTTGAATTTTAAAAGCATTTCCAGGTGATGCAGATACTCAGCCAGGTTTGAGAACCTCTGTATGTTCCATATCTAATGGTGCTTGGTGCCTAGTAGGTGCCTGACAGACATTCACTGAATTAGTACTAATTCCAAGTAAGCGTTAGGGATATTTTTCAATTTCTAAGTGTATTTGTTCATATCCTTCATTTCATGAAACTGCTGTAAGTTTTAAACCATCAGTTAATAAATGAGTAACAGGCTCTCAGGAAGAAACTGGACTCTACGAACAGAATTAATATTCTCTCAACTGCCATGATTACAGAAATGAAAAGTTAGCTACAACCAAAGATGGATTAGTCACAAGGTACTGATTCCTGAGAGTGACAAAATAGAAAATCCCCTCTTCTTCATCTCTGAGAATCCACTTGGCTCCTTCCTGTCTGCACATGTATGCACGCCACTGCATGTTCCCCATTAGAAAGGCATTAGGAGCAAACAGCTGTTCCTCAAGCCAGCTGTGCTCAGTCCACAGCTCCTCGGAGTTCACTACTGCCTCAGGGTGAGTTATTTTAAGAAAGAATCTCTCGGCTTTAAACATGGCCAACCAAAATGGAAATGCACTGCGGTTCACGGGAGCCTGAGCTATTCCCACTAGGAGAAGACGACTATCAGTACGGTTCCATTCACTGTTTGAGGTGGTATTTCTTTGGCTTTTTGTCGGAAAAGGGCTGCTCTACGAGCAGCAAGTATCTCAGTGAATGACACAAATTACTTCTGTTGCCATGGGAGATGGGGTAAAGCTGTCTGTGCGGGCCGTGTGGCGCTGGGAGATGGCTCTCACACTGCGTCTTTCACCTGAGGCTGGGAGGAGCCCCGTGCTTTGTGCCCACCGCGCTGGAAGCTTGGTCCTATGTTGGGGCCTTGAGCTCCAGATCCCAACAGAGCAAGATCTCTGCCTATCTCAGTTTCTACTGTGTGAAATGAGAAATGAGATGTGAAGGGGTGGAGACAGATTCTCCCCAGTCTTTTCAGCTATGATTTTCTAGGGCTTTCTGATATCTGGCACAGCACAGCTGCCTAAGGGAAAGGCTGAAGAAAGGGTGCTGCCCTACTCACAGGAATCCAAAGCTGTTTGCCCTAAGAAGAACAGAAAAGTGGACGTTAGACAGCATTAACCACCTCCTTTGGCCTAAACTTCCAAAGAAACCAGAGAGGTGTCTTTTCTTTCTTTTTCTTTTTTCTTTTCTTTTCTTTTCTTTTCTTTTCTTTTCTTTTCTTTTCGTTTTCTTTTCTTTTTTTTCTCTTCTCTCTTCTCTTCTCTTCTCTTCTCTTCTCTTCTCTTCTCTTCTCTTCTCTTCTTCTCTTTTCTTTGTATAAGGGACTAAACACAGGACCTTTGCACTAAGCTATATCCCCATTGGCTTTTATTATCTATTTTGAGACAGGGACAAGTAGCTAAATTGCTGAGGCTGGGCTGTAACTTTTGATCCTCCTGCCTCAGCCTCCCAGAGTGCTGGGACTACAGGCATGTGCTACAATGCCAGGCCAAGCTCCAGAGAGGATTTTACAGGCTGGAGATGTGAGAGGAAGAGAGGTGGTAGAGAACAAAGATTTGCTCACAACCGGGAAGAACGAGCCCAGGAGGGAACTTTGGGTAGGGAGAGACCCACCTTGATCGGAGAGTACCACTTCCGGGGGGAGGAGGGCCGTCGCATATTGTTGTTGAGATTTCGAGGCTCAGGGAATTCATACTCCTGCTCAGGCATTTTCACCCGTGCATTTTTGGCCTTTTCCAGCTTAGCACCTTCTTCTGTAGAGCCCTTTTCTCCCCAGCGAACCTAAAATAAATACAATATAATAAAATAACATGACAAAGTAAAATAGGCTGCTAGAAACCAGGAATGACAAGTACATGTCTGATATGCAAGGAGCACACTACCCAATCCACAATTCCTTTGGGTTTTGAGGACCAAGGAAGAGGAGTGTGGAGGAAAGGAAAGGGGGAGGGTGGAAGGTGCGGAGAGAGCGGGCCGTGAGCACAGGCCTTTTGGGGAGGCAATGTCCAGGCAGTGGGAAGCATGTATAAAAGTACTGAAGGGTCAGGTAAGAATCTGGACTTCATCCTGTAAGAACAGACACCACTGAGGGGTTTGAGCAGATGAGTGACCTGCCCTGACTACCAGTAGGCAAGATACGCACAGTTAAAAGGCTGTACCTCCTACAGTCCTATTTTTCTACCTTGACTCCATGTCTCCACCAGATTTCAAGCACGAGATGTCACCATCTGCTTTGGGAGTAGTCATCACAAAGACAAGCATGCATCAAGCTTTTCTCTTACCTCCATCCTTTTAATGCCTCCAACCCCTCGGCCACCATAATAAGAGGCATCTACTGTGGGCCACTTTTTCTTAGGCAGACCGTCGTCATCTTCTTCCTGCAGAAAGATTGTGACACATGAGGGACAAAGTGCCCTGCCTGTGTGTACACAAAGCAGAGCTTGTACAGGAGCGGAGCTTGTACAGCCTGACTGCCTGAGTTAAATCCCAGTGCCACTGCTCCTTGGGGCCCTGGACAAGTCGTGTGATCTATCCAAGAACATCTTGATCTCTAAAGTGGGAATAAAAGCAGTGCTACCAGGTAAGGCTGTGGCACAATCCTGGAAGCTGTTCTTTACTTTTCTGCTCCTATGGAAGGTGTTTGGGTTGGATGTGTCCTCCAAAATCACATGTTGAAAGCATGGTCAACAGTGCAGCAGTGTTGGGAGCAGGGAGTTAATGAGAGGTGATTAGGCCACGAGGGCTCTGCCTTCACTAATGGATTAATGTTGTTACTTTTGGACTGGGTTAATTATCACAAGAGTGGTTTTGTTATAAAAGTGAGGTGGGCCCCCTTGCACTTTACTGCAGTCTTTTGCACATGTTCCCTTATATTTCCTCCTTCTGCCATTGGGATGACTAGCAAAAGGGCCCTGGCCAGATACGGGCTGATATACACAGACATGGACTTTGCACTTTCCAGAACTGTAATCTCCACAATTGTGAGAAATGTGTCTTTTCTTTATAAATTTCCCACTCTCAGGTATTCTATTACAGCAGCAGAAAACAGACTAAGACATAGGAGAGTGCCTCTAATTCCATCTACCTACCTTGATGCAGTGATGGCAAACCTTTTAGAGACTAAGTGCCAAAACTGCAACCCCAAATCCACTTATTTATCACCAAGTGCCAACATTGAATATCTGATGCTCAGCTGCTGGGGTGACATAGCTTGTGTGCCAACAAAGAGGGCCCTGTGTACCTACTGCAGCAAGCGTGCCGCAGGTTCGCCACCACTGGATTAAAAGGAAATCTCATCTACATACTGTAATTTGGTGTAGCTGTATCTTCAGCTCTGACTTCTCAAAACTCCAGCTGGAGACTTGACATTCACATCTTCCCTTGAGAGCTAATACACATCTCAGCAATACCACTGCAAAGAAAAGTCCTGATTTCCCCACGCAAATCTGTTCTTCTTGTAGTATCCCCCACTGCGTGGAGACATTTTGAATCATCACTCTCCCTTGTCCCTTCCTCCTACACCCAATTTGCAGCAGCTTCTGCTGTACCTACTTCTAAATGATCCAAAATCCACTGACTTGTCCACTTCTAGCTCTGCCCAAACTCACATCAGCTTTCTCCTGGACACCGCGAGGCCTCCTACCTGGCTTTCCCGTCACCCTCTTACTAGCGCACAATCTGTCTTTCACATAGCAGCTAAGCCCAAAGCCTGCCTCCCCTTGCATGCTGTGCTGTGGTTCTCCTGGTGCCAGGAAAAGATAATTAGCAAAACTGCTCTTCATCTCAGTACTGTAGTTATTCATGTTGTGGGAAGAAAATATCACTGTCAAGGACAGATTATAACGAAGTGGCATGAGCTCTCTCCACAGCATAGAAAGGACATTGAAAAAGGGGTCTATAAAGCAGAGAAATGAACCAAAAGAGTACTAATCAGCTCAGAATCGTTAAGCCTGCTCCTCACAGCCTTGTTTGGGTGGCATTTTGGGAGTTATACTCGGGGTGAAGTCCTGGGTGGGGCCGCCACTGTGCAAAGGGGTAGGAAGCAAGGTACAAAGACCAGGAAGACAGTCAGCAGAAGGGAAAGCAAAACAATAAAACATCAGCCCATTAAGACTCCTGGAGTTCAGTGCTGTGCTTAGGATAGGCCAGCTTCTTAAAAATTAAAAATTTAATGTATCTTAAAAGACTGCGATCTCTGCAGACTAGATTTACAAGATTGTGGCAGCTAATATATGGCACTCTCCTCTGTCTCTAAACAGATCTGTTCTTCACTACGGGACTATGACCTCTGAAGTCAGAACGGATTTTGTTGACCCCTGTAATCTGAGACAGTAAGTGCTCAACAAACAGACACTGAACGCATGATAATTGCACCACTGAATTCATGCAGCCTTTATTGCTAATGTGCCTGCCACACTTCTGAGTGTTCACGTGTACTAACCATCTAATCTTACAGCCAGCCAGAGGGGCAGGCAGCATTGTTATTCCCGTTTTAGAGGCTAGGAGTAGTGAGGTTGTGACTTTGGTCATCCAGTTTTTAATGTGGCAGAGCTGGCTTTGAACTCAGGCAGCTTCCCTGGCAGGTTCTGGGTTTTGTCCCTTTGTGTTTTGCTTTTCCTAAGTCATTTGATGGTATCAGATAAATGCTAATTTTCTACTTCTCACTCCTGGTACCTGATAGTGATGATGATTTATGACTATATGACATGACAACATAAAATCAAAACCTCAAAAACAATACTGGCTCAGAGTACCTTTATGATTTTAATCCAGGTTTCTTTCACCTATGAGGTCAAAGCAAGCACCTTATGTATCTGACACACGCAGTTCCACTTTATCATAAGAGGTGGATATAGGTAAATGTCTGAGCACATATACGTGAAATACGGCCCCACAAAGCCTGAACATCTCTGGCTTAAGGCAGTTTTCCAAAGGAGATAATGGAAGTTTTATCTTCTAAAACTAAACACGGCATCAGCAGGAATGTACAAATCAGCAAGAATAAAGCCGCTTTATTCAGCAGGGGACTAAAATGGTCTCAGGAGTCCTCATCTCTTCTTTTTTAAATTACAGGAGAGAAAGCTCTGTAGACCATCTAATTGGGTCTTTTCATTGCATAGAAAAAGAATATCAGACCCGGAGCAATGAAACGATCACTAAAGGTGAACTTCCGGTGTGCTTTCCTGATTCCTTATCTTGCCACTGACAGTATCTCCCCACTCCCACACTTTCAGTACTCACTTGTGAAGAATGAATTACAATTTAAAATTTACTAATTTCAAACTTCCCGAGTGCTTAGTTATAAGACATAAAATCATCAAGTCAGTTTCCATCCTTTCCAAGCTTTCTTGCCCTCGCCAGCCCCCTCTCTTCTCTCCATTGGGCGAGGCCCTGGGAGGAGTGCAGGGCTGTGGTCACGCAACAGGAAATGCCTAGACTTGAGAGGGTTGCTGCACACACTCCTGATCCACCGAGCCTGTCCTCCAGTCCCCGACCCGAGCTTGCCTGCCAACCTCAAACAACAGCAGAAGTCAGCACAGAGACCCAGGCTTTGACCGACGGGAGAGTCAGAGTTTCCCCTGCAGTAAGCATGGCTCTGTTTACACATCCTGCAGCCCGGAGGGTTTTGTAATCCCAGGAAGAAGAGGGAATCTTTGATGTGTCTTTTCATTTCGCCAAAATTTGTTAGGGTAAAATCACAGACCCCAGTAGGTCCACTCTGACAATCGGCAGTAGCTGAGGGTGAATTTCTACATCTAATCAAAGAAAAAAATCCTCTTGGAAAGTCTCCCCCCCGCACTGCCCTTGAAGGATGTGTGTGTGTGTGTGTGTGTGTGTGTGTTTGTGTGTGTGTGTTAATAGAAATCTTCAGCTATTTTTTTTGTACACACAACTTTGAGGTCCGTTATGGTTATTAGAGGACAGGATCCTCTAAGTCAAATTGCTTTCTATGAGCAAATCAGCAGGTGGTGAGCAGAAAACAGTGAAATGGAGCTACGCAAAAGTGCCTTGTGGCCCTGGGGAGATGGCCAGAAAACCTTCTAGTAGTGGAAGGGCAGGGATGGAAAAAACCTGTGTAATATTCTGCCAGAAGTTACTTGTTGCCTGCGCTGTATTGGTGCACAGCTCCTTACTCAAGTAAAAGTCCCTACAAAGATGGCCTTGTGCCAGGAGTGCGTTGGGGGAGTGTAAGGGTTGGGCTTGCCAGATAGTATCTAAAAGCAGCAGGGAGGAGAAGTCAGCGATGCCTGGGAGAAACCGCAGCGATCAGGAGGCATGCTGGCTTCCCATCACAGGAAAGTTTGTTTAAATGTTAAAGGATGTGGTGGCCCCAGACATCCAGTTAGCTGACGTTTGGTGACACAAGTGGCAGCACATTCCTCAGGTCTTTCTGACCTGCTTGTCCTCAGGCAGACCTGGGCATGCCCTCAGGCACAGGGCTGCCCAGGAAGAAACATCTGTAGGGTAAATACCAAGCCTGATGGACTCATTTGGTTAGCCCAGAACTGGATTACTCCTGTGCTGCCCTCAGGCATTGAATCTTTCCATCGCTCCAAATCCTGCCAGGCCTTTGTCCAGCTCCATGCTCCAACATTCAGGATGCTTGGAAAACTCTTCTCTCCCCTCTCTGCCTATCACTTAAGGCATCATTCAAGACCACACAGTTACTAAGTGATGGGACTTTGATGTGAACTTGGACCTAACGGGGAAGGATACTACAGGCCTCTCTTGCAGGAGTCTGGAGTCTGCAGCACCTGCAGCCAGCCATGAGACCTCCAGGTGTGTCAGGAGCTCCTTTTCTTGAGTGGCAGTATCTCACCACGCTGGCCCGGGGGTGCTCAGACAAGGCCCACAGCCCCTTTAAGACTGACATGAAGATGACTGCTCTTTCCATGCTGTAGTGTGTAGCTGTTCTTTAGTTCTCTTTAGGTTTATAAGCTAAAATAAACCTTTCTTTCTTTTAAATTGATTATCTTAGGTATTTTGTCATAGTGATGGAAAGCCAGCCCCATTATTCTCATTACACCTCAGCTTTTCATATATAAAATGAAGATCGCAATAGCGTATCTCTGTTCTAGGGATGTTGAATGGTTAAATGAAACAGTCCAGACATTTTCTTTGGGAGTCTAAGAGACGACAGCTGCACACAACAGAAGCAAAGCCAAGCTGGAACCATGGAACGCAAATGTGGTGTCTTTTCTTGAAGGATTAGGAAAGGCTTTTGTGGATGTAAAGAGGGTTTTGTCTCCCTCCTCTTTGCACAGCAATGTAATTTCCTCCCCTGATTTCTGGGCAGAAAGTTAGCATTCCAACAAGATGTGGTTTAATTGATTGCAGCTATTAAATCCCTTGGCTTATATGCATATGGTTCAGGACCTAAGAGACACATGGAATTTTAAATTTAATCATCTGCCTTTCTGTGTGTGTGAGGAAACTTAACAAAGACATTGGGAAAGGAAGAATGAGGGGGCTGAGCTTGGTTTGCACACAAAGATAGACTTTAGGGATTGAGGTAAGAGCTTGAAACCTCATCAATATATATATATATTTTAGTGCCACTAAAGTTTCAGATCTTGACCCTGGCTTCTAAATTGGTGAGTGTTGCTTGTAGGGAGTCCAGCTATCCCAGTCTAAGAAAGCCAGTTGTTATGCACTCCTGCCCAGTGATAATCTTTCTCATGATTAGCCTTTGAGGACTCCACCGTATTCTACGCAGGCCATCAGAACTGCTTACTGGCCAATTTATTTTTATTTTTTAATTTTTTTTACTGGCCAATTTAATGGTAAGAGTCTGAGATTGTTTTTTCTTTAGATGATGAGTATTGGAGAGCAAGGCCAGGATATTAGCATATCCTCCTCCACCATATTTTTATTACTGCCTGGCAAATCTTTAGGTAATACTGTTTTAAATTAAAGAAAAATTGAAAACTTTAGCATTAGGCCATTCCTAGGACAAGTGATGGTTTGGAGAAAGTGGCCAATTTGCCTTGATCTACACATGCAATGTGTAAATATGCAGGGAGGAGAGAACCCTAAAATGTTTTAGAGGAAAAGTCAGATCCTCAGAGCTCCAAATAACTGTACTGATAAGGAACATTTATGTTTGCATCTCCAATTTTATCTTTGTGGGAAGAAACCATCCTGTCTTTGACTGTCACTTTAGCTCTGTGCCTGCTCGTCCTTGGTTAGGAAAGGGTCAAAGCCTTCACTTCTTACTGCTTCACAGGCAGTGGGGACTGGGCCCTGCTTGCCTGGGGCTAAGTGTCCCAGTGGCTTAGCCAGCCCTTTGTCTACCTCTGCTATTCTACCCATCTGGCTGCATCCTTCTCTGGCCACTTACCTCACTCTCTTCAACCGGGGGTGGAGGGACTTCCTTGATGATCTGAAAAGAAAAAGAAAAAGAAAAAAAAAAAACAACAGGTCAGTAGACTCCAGACACAGGCTTTCTAAAAGATCTGCTCTTAGGAGGTGCCCCAAGCAAGGCAGACTTGATCAGTGCCATGATCTGTCTGGATAGAGTATCGCGGTTAGTTTGAGCATGATCCAGGCTGCACCTTCCTTTCTCAGTGTTGTAGTTTTTGTATAGAAAAAGCTGTTTCATAGGTAAGAGTTTCATCTCTTACTTCAGGTAGCTATTTTGCAAAGGTACTCATTCACTCGTGTATTCAGCCAGTCATTCATGCATCAAATCATTCACCCCTCTATCCAACCATCGACCCATCTACACATATAAGAAGGAATGGTTACACAGAGGAAGGTAAGGGTTCTGTAGACAGGAGCTAGGTACAGGCCATGCTTAGAGAACTGGCAGCCCTTAATCTATAAACAGAGCCCATGGAGAGAGGATGTGATGGTCAGGTACACTGAGTCTTAACAGAAGGCAGGAAAGGATGTGTTCCCCAGGATCTCTTTCAGGGCACTGGCATTCAGGGGCACAAAGATCTGAATAACACTATGATTAGACTGCAACTTTTTCATCTTAAGGGTTGAACAGAAACACATAGACATTGTGGGCAGGCAAATAACTGGGAGGAGGACAGGGAAGGAGGTTGGCTGGGTGGCACACTTGTCCCCAATTTTTATACTACTCATAAAACGAAAGCCTTTGTGGGTACTTGGATTTATGGTGTCTTACACATCAGTATAACCACTATCTACTTTAATCCACTACACTCCAAGGGGGTTCCTCTACCTTTACAGAAAGATCATCAGAATTTTGGTCCCCTATGTGCAGTGCTTTTCTTGAGAACTTTAGTAGGCTCATCTGTATTTCTGGATCTCTCAGTCTCAGGAATGGTCACTTTTAGGTGGGGGTTCAGGCATTATCCTGGGAGCTTGCCTTTGGCTGCAGCCAAGCTGCCTGACTGGCATTAAGCTCCTGCTCTTCTTACTAAGCACATGCTTCCTTTGATCTGATAATGCTGAGGCTCACTATAGCTCTAGTGTCTGCTGCTGCCACCTACCCTACTATTGTCTATAATGGCATCTCTGTGTGATGAGACAGGTTACCAGCCTCAGCCAGTGGACTAAGGCTCCAGACATCTGAAAGGACGATATTCAGTTAACTGGAGAGGCGGAGATAAAGGCCCCTAGGGGTTTTGAACAATCATTTCATCTGCCTCCAGTTCCTGGCTGCTGTGGGAAGCCATGATTTTGCTCACCCACTCAATCTTGGCTCAAAATTTCTTCAGAAAAAATCTCAAGAGAGGGCCTTTACTGCTAGGCATTGATTTTCCAGCATCCTACAGGCAGTAAATTATGTTAAAGCAGGAAATACCTGGAAACTGAAGGGAAGGATGAGGAACAGTGGGACAGAAACTTAGAACTAAGGAAAAGGAGCTGGAGGGAGAGTACAGTAGGAACACAGGCAGCTGCTGACAAGGGTGGTGTGGGCGGTGTGCACAGCAAGGTCCCTGGCTACGAAGAGGTTTGGGTTAGAGCAGCCGTGCTCTGCCTTTGTGGTGCTGTTAGCTACTCTCTCCTGTACATCTGTCCTGTGTGAACCCCAGACTTGCCTCTTCATAACTGTCAGGATTTCAGAAGCCCCTTAGGTCCCCTGGGCTCCACTGTCATCTAAATTGAACAAGAACACGGGCCTTACAGGAACAGAGTCATGACAAGCAATCAAGTGCGTTGAGGGCCTGGTAGAGAGGAGGTGCCATAGATCGTGCATGTTATTAGGGTTCTCCTTTCCATTTCTTGTCTGCCTCTTGCTTTTATTACGTCTTTTGCAGTTTCATAAAGTAAGTGAGACAAGAGACTGGTGTCCAGACAGTGGCCAGTGGGCTTAATAGTGACTAGAGGCTTCAGGGGCATCAATGGCCACATGACATTGTTAGCACATGACATAGGCCGGGAAATGGAGCCCCAAGTGGCCCACCACTCTGAACAACCCAGCTGTGAGTTTGCTGCTTGATTTAGTTCAAGAAGTATTTGCTAGTTTATTAAGTATTTACTGAGCATCTACTTTATATCCTGCAATGTGCCAAGTTCTGAGGGCAACTTGAAAGATAATGCAAAAATATGTGACTTATTGAATATTAATCGAAGGGGAGCTGATTTATAATGCAAATTCCCCACTGACACACTGGAAGCATCTCAACTTTTGGAAAAATGTCACCACGTTCAAAGAGAAATTAGGCCCCTCCAATCTGGCTTCACTGGTTGTGTGTCCAGCTGTAGTCGGCAGGAGTAAGGAAGGAGTTTTCTCATTGCTTCAAGCCCAGGCACCACTAGCTCGCTCTGGAACAGGAAGCAACTCATCTATAGGGTGGCATCTATCTTTAAACGTGCCCCAGACAAGCTGGAAGCCACGGGATGATTATCCCAAGCAGTGAAGTTCTTGTACACGGGTCACCCAAAGGAGTGCTCTGGGTACAGGGTCCTGTCAAGTCTCAGTGCCCTCCCCATCGGAGGGCCACAACCCATGTGCCCTAAGGAGCTGTTTCGGCAACTGCCTCGATCATTCCCATGCCGGCAGCACCTCTGCAGCTGCATGCTTGACTGCACCCCTGCAGGTGCCTGTAACACTACTGATCACACAGGTGGCCATGGCGAGTAAACAGCTCCCCGCAAGGAATCATACAGAGTCGGCAAGGTCCCCTCTTTGGGCTCTCAGTTATGATTAAGAGTGTTCAGTTATGGTTAGGACTGCTTATGTTTTTATAGCACTCTTAATCATAACTGAAAGGTAAACTGCATACTTCTTTGTTTCCAGTTAGCCTGACCAGAAAGTTCCTATTCCCACCTAGACTGAAAGCTAGCACCAGCTACCAAGCTCTGGCTGGGTTTGGCTCACTTTCTTTCTTGGTACATTTTGGGAAGCTCCTCTTCCTTGTAAGTGGGCTCTGCAGCTCCTTCCTCATCAGGAGGGACAAAGAGAAGATGGATAAAGTTAAAGCATTCCTTCAGAAAATACTTAAGAGGAAAATGCCACCACAAACGTATTTATAAACATAACAAGGTAAAACCGAATGGGAGTGCTGATGGCTAGCGCTACTACCCCACTTACTACCACCATCTTTAGACCGGGTGTGGCATTGGCAGAAAGTGACCACTTGCCTCCTTGGGGTCACTGCCCACGGAGCCCATTTTGGGGTGAGAGACCCCTTGCACAGTAGTTGGACTGACAATGTAAAGGGGATAAGAAAAAGCACAATGGACGGAACCTCTGAATTCTGTTCGTGTTTCTTTGCTACCTGAGAACTTCTTGAAACTGCTGTGAGTTGGGAGATATGTTTCCTCTCCTCTCCTATCAGTGACTTTAACTCTGATTTGTCCATCTCTGTTCAGGAAGACACGAGGAAGGGCCAGATGTAACAAGACTGTTGTATCGGTACCACAAAGTCAGGAAAGGCCAGGTAGAATCACATCACATTGAATCACCACTTCTTGGGTCACATCAAATTGAGTGTGACTATTGAAAGCGGCAGTAGTGAAGATGTGGAGATGCAGCATGCTATGGACAGAGCAGAAAGATCATAAAGGCCAGAGCCTGTCGGATGGCTGAAAAGCTCAGCCACTGTGGTTTATGAATCGAGTTCAACTCCTGGCCTTCTATAAAGCTCTCTCTTGAATTTATTTTACAATTTTTAAAAATGAAGTACAGCTCCTGGTGAGTTGATTTTGCTTAAGTTTTTTTTCCTTCAGAAATATCGAACTTTTGGTCCTTGCTGCCCTGTTTGCCCCAGCTGACTCTGTATAGTGGTACTTACAAAGCAAAGAAAATACAGTCTATTGACAGCCACACTGGCTCACTGGACAGTCCACTTAACGTTGAGGGTCAGACCAGTGTGCCAGATGAGGAGCAGGAGGACGCAGGCCAGGGACTTCCCTCAGGGTCTCCTACTTTGCCTCTTTCTCCTTGTTGAGAAATCCTCCAGCGAGACCTCACAATTCTCCTCCTCTTACCTGTCTCTTCTCTCAGTGACAAGAATTGGTTATACACTAACCTGGACAAGCTCCTGTCAGATAGTCATTCATCTACTGGTATTAGAAGTGGGACTAAACAGATTTCTTTTCTTTTTCAGTTTTAGTATCTTTTTGTTTGTTTGTTTGTTTTGAGGTAGGGCTTTGTTGTATAGTCCAGGCTGGCCTTGAACTTGTGGTGGCTCTCCTGCCTTGGCCTCCTGAGTGCTGGGATTCCAGGCATGTAGCACAATGCCCAGCGTTCAGTATCCTTTTTGTCTGAGCTACATTCAGGGCCTCTCCTCTAAACTTTACATCAAAGGCCTTGTCTTTAGCTGCAAAGGAGGCACTTCACTGGCACACAGTGGAACACTGGCTGTCTAAGAGAACAGCTTGAGACAACTACTACGCTAATAAAACCAGGTACTTTCCTCTAATTTTAATTATCTCAGTGGTTTCAAACTTTTCAAATATCAGAGTCACACAAAGGATTTCCTCAAGCATAGATTTCTGGGCTATATACCCAAGTTCCTCATTAGCAGGTCTGGGCTAAGCACTTGAACTTCTAACAAGTTTCCAAATGAAGCTGGCCCTTGGGGCTGGGGATATAGCTCAGTGGCATAAGCGTCTGCCTGGCAAGCACAAGGTTGTGAGTTTGATCCCCAGTATAGACAATTTTTGGGGCTGGGGATTTGGCTCAGCGGCACAGCGCCTGCCTGGCAAGCACAAGGTCGTGACTTTGATTCCTGGTATCAGCAAAAAAACCAAAACAACAACAACAAAAAAAGGCTGGCCCTGCTGGTCTGTGGCTTCATTTTGAGAACCTTGAATTAGCTTATGCCTAACAACTCTATGGTGATAGATACATAGAAGAGGTATGTTTTGCTTCCGGTCAGACATCCCTACAGGTGGTCTGCTGTGTGTTCCTTATAGCTGAGTAGAAACAACAACTTTGAAAAGGTTTCATTCTAACAA